ACCTCTGTGAAAGGGTTGTTCTGGTCACAAAGGGGTCATGGCCCCCAGGTCACTTATTCTGCTGCCCTTTCATCTCCCCACAGGGACTTCAGGTCTCCTCCCAGCACAGTCACTGACCAAACTCCGCGTCCAGTTTCCCTTCCTTTCTCCCTGCCCTCTATCTGTGTGAACTGTAGGGATTAGGAGCATCATGCATAATGGGGGACAGCCACGCGCTGTGGATCTCCCGTGGTGGGGAATTGTGGGACCCAGCCACGACAAGCTCAATAGAGGCCTGAGTCTCAGTAGTTTACCCTGGTTCCAAGAAAGACCACAAAGTGAGACTACCCAGGCACCACCCAGGAGCAGACCATTCAAAAAAATTCCTAACGTTCCAACCTTTGTAGATCGGATCACCTGCCAGCACACACCCATCACTTTTCCTCAGGACACCCCTAGGCAAATGTCAGCCAATCAGGGGTTTTGACCTTCGGAAATCCCTCACTCTCACCAAATACAGAAACCAACCCCAACTGAGTTCGGGGCTCTCCAACTACGCCAACATTATGGCCACGTGGGGAGTCCAAGTTTGCAAACTTGTGTACCAATAAGAGTTCTTTGCTTTTACAGACAGGACTCGGTCTCCAGTTGGTTTTTTGGGGGGGGGGGGACTCTGTGATGAGGGCATAGCGTTATGACGACTGCCAGTAATTCTCTGGCTTTCATAGCCATGAGTTCTATCTAACAAGAAGTCTAGAAAATGTGGGCTCTTTACAACCTGGGCGAAATCTCAGCTCCTGACTTTCCAGATGCCCTGGCAGTACAGGGAGGGGGGGTAATGTAGGCTGACTTGCCTGGCTTGGCAGGCCTCCCTGCAAAATCAGCTCTGTCTTTGGAATGGACAGGATTTCCTCTGCAGACTCAAGCAGAAGCTGATGAGGACGGGACTGACCTCAAAAGGCACCCAGAGTGCCAACTTCCTGTATTCCAGCTTTGCTGGTTGGGTACATAGGATTGAACTGGAAGAAAATACACCAGCAGCACGACCTGACCCTAGTAGGTAGAAATCTGAATCACAAAAGCTGCGTTTGCGGAGGGAGCATTTCTGTCTAAGGAAGGGTCTTCCAACAGCGGGGGATCGACATGGGCCACACCTGGAAGAATTAGTGCAGAGATGACGTGTGTTTTCCACCTTCAGGTCTGTTGCAGTGGACTGGGCTAGGGCCAGCAGGCCAGCAGTAGGAATAAGGAAGCAACAAGGTGCCCTGGGTTCTGCCTCTTAGCTGAGTGAGCTGAGGAAAGTAATATTTTTCCTGTTTTTTGAGACTGGTCTCATGTACCTTACGAGTGTTGAACTTTCTATATAACCAAGGATGACTTTGAACTCTTGATCCACTTGCTTCTGCCCCGTAAGTGCTGGGATTACAGATGTGTGCAAACCATACCTCATTTTGCGGTGCTTGGGATCAAACTCAGAGCTATGTACACACTAGGCAAGTACTCTACCAACACCTCCAGCCCTAAGTGAACTGGTTAGGAAAAGCATACAACCTGTAAAATGCAAACAGTCCACCCAGTCTGAAGCTGGCTAGGACCATGCATTAGTATTATAACTAGTTCTCTTGGAGAAAATAGGAAGTTCAGCTTGGTTTGGGATATGCAGACTTCGCTACCAAGGTCCAAACAGAAATACGGGGACAACTTTTTCTGTATGTTGTTTTGCCACCAAATTAAAAAGTCCATATTTGACAAATACTTAAAGCACTAAGGATGTTTCCACAGAAAGTTTCCACAAAGCTTTTAGTATTCTCTATTAGAATAATTTTATATGGTAAAGCTGAATGTGGTTAAAGTAGCAAATGACTGACTTTATTCTAACGCCAGAGGAATTACAAAGGAACAGGCCAAAGCATGATTTAAATTTTGGTTTGTGACTGACAAGATGTTTAGCAGGCAAGAGTGCTGGCTGCTCGTGCATGGGACTCAGATTCTGTCCCCAGTACCCATGTGACAGTTCACAACTTTGGAACTTCCGTTCTGAGGATCCCAAGCCCTCTCTGGCCGCCACAGATATGTTATGCACATGCTCCATAGATATACATGCAGGAAAAACAACCATACACATAAAATAAAATAAAAATATATAAATATGAGAATCAGATGCAGTGAGTCACAAGTATAATTGCAGCATATAAAAGATGGGGATTGCCAAGACTCTGAGGTCATCCTAGGCTACATAGCTCCAGTTAGCCTGGGCTACAAAGAGAGACCTCCTCTCAAAAATAAACAAACAAAGCTATTATTTTGAAGTTTGAAATTTGAGATTAGTTTATTTTAATACCCATTTTGCTAGAAGAAAAACCCACTGCCCACTCTGCTCTTATACCCTACAGGACAAGGTGGGCATGTGCCTTTTCTACAAGTAAGAAACTGACTTTTCTCAAATTTATTGAAGCAAACTAGACTAGATAAGCAATTCGGTCTAAATTTAGCATGTACAATACAGTGTGTTGGCAAATGCCTTTCCACAGTCAGATTATTGAGTCTGTCATCAGTCAGCCCAAGTTTCACTGTGACTGTCTGTAAGCAGGCATTTGTATGGTGAGAACACTGAAGACTACTGCTTAAGAGACCTGGGGAGGCAGCTCAATGGGTAAGAGCACTTGCTGTGCAAACCTGGGGACATGGGCACCCATGAAAAACTGGGTGGAGGCAAGAGATCCTAAGATTTCACTGGTTGGCTAGCCTAACCTGATCAGCAAGAGATCCTGCATCACAGGAATAGAGGGAGAGCAATAGAGAGAGACACAGGGGGGAGCAATAGAGAGAGACACAGGGGGGAGCAATAGAGAGAGACACAGGGGGAGCAATAGAGAGAGACACAGGGGGAGAGAAATAGAGAGAGACACAGGGGATCAGTAGAGAGAGACACAGGGGGGAACAATAGAGAGAGACACAGGGGGAGAGCAATAGAAACACAGGGGGAGCAGTAGAGAGAGACACAGGGGGAGCAATAGAGACACGGGGGGAGAGCAATAGAGAGAGACACAGGGGGAGCAATAGAGAGAGACACAGGGGGAGCAATAGAGAGAGACACAGGGGGAGCAGTAGAGAGACACAGGGGGAGCAATAGAGAGAGACACAGGGGGGAGCAATAGAGAGAGACACTTGACACCATCCTCGGGTTTCCATGCACATACGTGGACATGTACAGCCCCAACTCACACATGCGCACTCACACAAGTTTTACTCCTAAAGACTGGGAGGCACATACCCACAATCCTGGCATGGGAAAACTGAGGCATGAGGGTACAGGATATGAGGCCTGCCTGGGCTCTAAAGTAAGATCTCGATGAAAATACCGTAAATATACAGATGGTATGTATATGTTTGTGTGTATTCTCTTAGAAAATCTTGTGTACATGATGCAGTATTGTTATCTATTGTCTCATGGTGTATATTATGCCCCAAACTATTTACTCACATCTAAAATTTATATTCTTTGACAAAAATCTTTTCATTTCTTGATTCCCCAACTTCTGTCAATAACTACACTCTGCTCTGTTTTTTGAATTTGACTTTGTTGATTTCAGATAGTAGATCACACAATGCTTGCTTTTGTCCTACCTTTTGCTATGGCCTGAGGCAGGAGCACCTGTTTAAAGTTCAGCCTTCTTCAGAAAAGTGGACAGCGGCGGTTACTACAGACTCACAACGCTCTAAGGGCTGAGCCTGAGTGACTATTGTCACTTCCCCCAAGGCATTACAGAGGTGGAGCTGGGGAGAATTCAAGGACTGGAGGATTGGGAGGCGGGCTGTGAAATGCTTCCAGACACCACCTGGCCTGTGTGCTTGTGAACTCACAGCTGCTATAGCTCCCTAGTTCCTTGTCCATAAGACTGGATCAGCCAACACTTTGTCATGGGGAGGGCTGGGGGGAAGCTTTCATGGGCCTCACCCCTTCCTGGGGAGCTCTTGGCAGTTAATAATTGCTGGAGTAAGAGGAGATGTTGTCGGGGTTTCTGTCTTGCCCAGTACCCACAGTCGTTAAGTCCCAAAGAAATAACACAGAGGTCTACATTAACTATAAACTGATTGGCCCATTAGCTCAGGCTTCTTATTAACTCTTACAACTTATATTCTAGTATATGCTAGACACATGGCTCAGTACCTTTTTCAGCAGGGCAAGTCACATCTTGTTTCTTCTATGGTGGTCTCACAACTGCCGAGGAATGGGCTTCCTCCTTCCCAGAATTCTCCTGTTCTCATTGACCCACCTCTACTTCCTGCCTGGCTACTGGCCAATCAGTGTTTATTTAAAATATAATTAGAATATAGACAATTGTCCTGCACCAGGGAGATATTTCTTCAGTGGTGTCGTCTCATGGGTTAACTGCTCACGTGCCAGTAAATGTCCACTCAACTATGATCTTGGAAGAAATGTCAGTGAAACCCATCGGGCCAAGTGAGCTCATTGCATGCACAGACACATGCACACAAGCACATGTACACACACACATATACACTGCACACACACTCTCTCACACTCACTCACAAACATGCATATGTGTATACACACACGCCTACACATGCACAAAGACGTGAAAGTAGAAGGGGCTCAGAGGAAGAGAAAAGAGGGACAAGAGAAAGTAATGCGAGGAGAGCATGACCTAATATGTTATATACATGTCAGTTAACTTAAAATTTTTAAAATAAACCTGAAAGGAGATAAATGTCAAGAGGTGGGAGTATGTATGTACTATTATTTATTCCAATACAGCTTTAAAATGCTAGTTTGAGATAAAAATTAGCAGATAGTGCCTAGTATTGGGGATAAACCAGTTATTCCCTCAATGTAAGTCCTCCCATTCATCCAAAATCGCTTTTTGAGAGCCTGTAACATGCTGGACCCTGGTTACCATGGCAGCAGATCATGGTAGACCTCTTAGGAATTCCCATGTGGTCCTTCCCCTCACCTTCCGGAGTGAGTAAGGCCCAGCCTCCCTCCATTGAGAACTTACATTTACGTGTCCGTTCTGCACCAGTCGTGTGGAAAGCTTGACGAACACGGCCAGGGACACACAGAATAGGACGAGGCTCAGGCACAGGTCCAGGACTTGAAGGGTCAGGTGATATGCTTCATAGTGGAGCGGGTCCACGCAGACTGATGGGAACGCCGTGTACGGGAAAGGAAAGGTAACTGCGTAACCAAGGTAATTGGTCCCTGCCACCCCTGAAAAGGAGTAGAAGCAATATGGACCAAGGAGAGCAGATTCCAAGGCTACTGCAAAATGAAGTGGACATCCCATAATGCTCAGAACCGCAAAGGTGAAGCCAGCTTCCCACTGGAAAAGAGGAGAAACAAGCTGTTACTTAGATGAAGAGCCGGTGGCCCTCAGTCTCCCCCACATGCTGAAGGAGAAACACACAACTTTCATGTCTCATCTACTTCTAGTCAGAGTCTCCTATAGCCCAGGCTAGCCTCAGATTTCTGTGTTGCTAAGGTTGGCCTTGAACTCTTGGTCTTTCCTGCTTCTACATCCCAAATGCCACATTGGATTACCCCCCCACCCCCACCCCCCCACACACACTCATCCCCCGTGCTGCCATTTCAAATTTAGACCCAAGGCCTCCTTTGCTGCTAGACCAACAAAGCCTCCACCATTGACCTCCACTCCCTGTCCCCTCAACCTTCCTGTTAGGACCCGTTCCTCTTATACCAATCTAGGCTACAAGAGGAAACCATGTCAGCCAATTGGAGCTAAAATGAGATCAATTCAATAAATATTTGCTTATTCCCTATTGTGCACAGAGGGTCAGCTGGTGTTGGGGAAACAAGGCCCTCTCTAGGACGGTGGTTCTCAGGTGCCATCTGTGCCTGGGTCGCGCTACACTGCTGAAGAGCCTCTCAGACCTCGTCCAGACCTTCACCAGAGCCTGTGCGCTAGCCCAAGCTCCAACTGACCCACTACAGCCTTTGCCACGGAAATGAGACCTGGAATTAGACACCACGCTCCTCCTGTAGCCTGGAAAGAGCTGGCTCAGTGCTGTTAAATTCAAGCAGGCTTGGAGTTCTCATCCTTCCCAGATCTGAGTGAGCTCGGGAGGTGACCTCAGGCTGAGGAGTTGAGCTTTGAACTGCATTATTGAGGCTGGAGGTGTAATCCAGTGGGTAGGGTGTTTGTCTGATAGACACCAAGTCCTGGGTTCAGTCTATACCTCCCCCACCACCATATGGGCCCTTACATTATTTAAAGTCGTTTCATTTCTGTATTAAACTCCAGAGCCCTGACACTGACCTCAAACAATAATCATGAACTTAGATAAATTATTTGGAGTAAGAACTGGATAAAAATTATATGCAGAGGACCAGCTGTGCATTATATTAAATTAAATAATATATGTAAAAAATACATAGTTTATCAAATTGGGCAAAGTGGCACTGCCTGTAATCCCAGAACTTGGAAGACGGAAGGAAGGTTAGAAATTTGAGGTATCATCAGCTATATGGCAAGTTCAAGGACAATACACTTCACACGCGCACACACACATGCACACATGACTGCCAAGCCCACTGTACCACCCCTGTCCACATTTTTGTGTTTACCAAGTGTCTCTGGCTCCACTCTCGGTGAGCAAGCAGCACAAGTGCCCCAGCTGTGATGGCCTGTGAAAAGAAAATTGGAAAAAAATAACTTCCCCAGTGGAAAGGACCTCTGCAAAGAGTTCAATCTGTCTCACAGCGTGACAACTTTATCACAAGCTGGAAAGCAGGGCAAGGGGTGAAATGGATTTACGGCTCTGATCCCATCTTCGTCTGTGGGAGGAACTGTGTTGACAGGGAGGAAAATAGCCATTAGAGTCACCCGGACGTGAGTCACATCCCGCTCATTTCCATTCCCTGTGCTGCCTTCTCCCCTCAGCCACCACCTCTGCTACTGACAGGTCACCACAGCTAAATCCTGCTTCGCAATTCTTGACTTGTGCTTTGTGTGGTGGTTGGGATGAGAAATGCCCCCCAATGGGCTCGTGGGTTTGGTCACTTGGCTCCAAGCTGGTGGTGCTGTTTGGGAAGGGTCTAGACTCTTTAGGAAATGGCAGCCTTGCCTGAGAGTATGTAAAGCCCACTGGGGGTGGGCCTGGAGGGGTTATAGTCTTGCCCCACTTCCTGCTAGCTCCCTCTGCTTTCTGTGTGGTGGAGAAAATGTACAGAGCCAACTTCCTCCTTCTGCTGGCATGCCGCATGTTTCCTGCCGGTGTAGACTCTGGAACCATAAGCCAAAATAAACCTCGAAGTTGCTTTTGGTTGTGGTATTTTTTAATCACAGCAACAGAAAAGTAACACACACAAATTTTAAGGATTTTTAATATTTATTTATCTTTATTTGCCTCCCCTCCTCCGTGAGTGTGTGTGTGTGTGTGTGTGTGTGTGTGTGTGTGTGTGTGTGGATTGGTTCTGTCCTTCTACCACGTAGGTCCCGGGAATTGAACTCAGGGTGACAGGCTTGGCTGCAAGCATCTTTACTCACTGAGCTATGTTGCCACCCCAGTATTCTGGTTTTCATCTTTCCAGATGGGACAGACTGAAATGGAGACCTGTCTCCAAGGCCTGAGTCATCCCCAGCCCTGGCCTGGTCTTTTACAGCTTGCTTTCGTTTCATTTTGTGGCCTTGACCCGCTGAGGGGATGCAGACACGTGACCTCTGTTTCCTAAGTAACAAAGACAGTCGTTAGGATGGACTGCGGCAAGGCATTAGTGTTCCAGGTGCAGGCGCATCTGCTTTGATGAAGAGTTTTCCTCTACAGTTCATGTTTAAAGAAAAAGGCCCAGAGTGCAGAAAGAAAATAGTTAATAAGGAAGGGGCGGTGTGTCCAGAATGCGGCAGTAGATAATGGAAAAAGAATTTCTGAGCTCATCTTGGATTCATCGTGAGGTCTGAAGAAGGAGCCGTTTGTGGTTATTGAGACTAGAAATCACTTATCCCCAAACCACAGAAATCCTTCTTCTCAATCAAAGCTTGGGTTTGGAGGTCCAGATAGAAAGTCAGAAAGAGATGAGCCGAGTGCAGAAAGGTTTAAACAGCCCAATTTCGATTCTGTCTGAGGAGTAAGTATGAATCAGCTCTCAGACCTGCTGGGTGCAGGGGAAATGAGAGCTTTCCCGTGCGAGCCAGTGGGATGCTGCAGCGAGTGGGATGCTGCGCCCAGAGCTCCAAACTTAGTCTATTTACCATTTTGAAACTTGGATTTAGAGAAACTGGGAGAGAGAAACTCCTGCTCACGCATGGCTCCAGTTGACGAGCCCAAGACTGCAGACTTGGCGTGGGTCTGCCATGGATAAAAACAGGACCATCTGCAGTCAAAAGAAGTTCCTGGCTTGATTCTGCAAGACGAACCTTTCCAGGGGATGTTAAGGAGGCAGCGGGGGCACAAACAGGAGAAGTACTAAGAGCTGAGCCATGGAGCCTGGGGCTGTCTCAGCTTCCAGACCGACACACAGCTCACCTGTCATCAATCAGAACCTCAGAAGCAGGAGGGCGGGAGACTGCTCCTGTCCCTTGGCTGGCTTAGCTCTGGAGACAGCAGACATTGTGGGATGCTGAGACTCTAGCTTGACTTAATGTGCTGGCAGGAGTGTCTTTCCTTTTGAAAGCTGAAACACGCTGCAGAATTGCAGTCAGTTTCCTGTTATTTTGGTCACAGCCGCCAGCTTGAATTTTGCCTTGTTTACACACGGCTCTGAGAAAACTCTTCCACCAAGTGGAAGCCTAGGATGTTTGACTGCTCCGTAACTTTTTAAATCCACTTGGCTGATGGGATGGGGCTGAGCACACCCATCTTCCCGGTGCTCACTTTTATATTTAGATAAGAAGAGGGAAAGAATGAAAAAGGAAGAAATTTGAGAGTAGGGAACGGAAGTCACGAGGGCAAAGAAAAGGAGGAAGAAGCAGACTGTCTGGGAAGCGAAGGTCTGGTGAATCAGTGGGGTTTGGGGAGTAACAGGAGGTGAGGAACCTGCTGCAGGAGAGAGGGTGCTCCCTCCCTCTGCCGTGCTATTGGCTGGCTTTCCGGGGTAATTGTGAGCCCTTCCACTGGACTTTTAAACTGCTTAAGTACAGCGTGCAGTTCCCAGAAGCGGATGAATTGAAGGAAGCGATTTTAGAGGCATCATGCGAAGATAGGATACACAACGCAGTCACTTACAAGCATCTACTACAGTAAGCAGTGAGGTAGTCGTGAGGCAGATAAAGTAGTGATAGCAAATCTTCATGCCGCCTGAATAGAGGGCAGACCCGGTGGTAAGCACACCAGCGTTCCCACGTTGCATCTATACAATGAGGTTGAAGGTGTAGTTCTGTTAGCAACATGCTTCCCTAACATGCAGAAGCCCTGACTGTGATCCCCGGCTTTACATGAACTGGGCACGGTGGCCCACATTTGTAGTTTTACCACTTGGCATACGGAGGCAGGAGGATCAGAAATTCAGTGTTACTCTCCATATACAGAGTCTGAGGCCAGCCTGGACTCCCTGAGTCCCTGTATTGGTTACTTTCTTATTTCTGTCATAAAATACCCTGACAAAAGCGTCTTACGGGAGGGAGGATTTATTTCACCTGACAGTTTCAGGGAGATACTATCCAATGGGGATGAAAAGACATGGCGGCTCGCTAGGAAGAAGATGCTGCGGCAGGTGGGAAAGATGTGGCGGCAGGCGGGGAAGTCATGGTGGCAGGTGGCGTCAAGAGCGGGAGGCTGGCTGGACACGGTGCATCTATATTCATGACGCAGGTAGTGAATGGGAAAATGGAACTGTCTGTGTCCCAAACACAAGGTCACTTCTTTGCCTCTGCAGATGCTGGTTTCTGGCTGGACCTGCCCATCGCCTGTCATGGCCTTCCTTGAGACTTGCTCCAGGCTCCATCTCTCTTGTTTTCCTACTAAAATTAATACCTACATACTTCTAGTGTACCAAACTCGCATTCTCATCTACTTTTACTTTATTTCCTTTAGTAAATTTGTTGATTTGTTTGTGTGTGTGTGTGTGTGTGTGTGTGTGTGTGTGTGTGTGTAAGAGAGAGAGGGAAAGAGAGAGAGTTCCTTAGAGGTCAGAAAAGATTCATCAGACAGACCCCCTGAAGCTGGCGTTTCAGGCAGGTTTGAGTTGCCTACCATGGGTGTTGGAAACTGAACTCAGGTTATCTGTAAGAGTTGTATAGCTTGCCTTCTATAGATCCCCAGTGCTGACCCTGCTGCCCATAGATCCCCAGTGCTGACCCTGCTGCCCATAGATCCCCAGTGCTGACCCTGCTGCCCATAGGTCCCCAGTGCTGAGCCTGCTGCCATAGATTCTCCAGTGCTGATCCTGATGCCCATAGGTCCCCAGTGCTGAGCCTGCTGCCATAGATTCTCCAGTGCTGATCCTGATGCCCATAGGTCCCCAGTGCTGAGCCTGCTGCCATAGATTCTCCAGTGCTGATCCTGATGCCCATAGGTCTCCAGTACTGACCCTGTTGCCCATAGGTCCCCACCACTGACGCTGCCGCCCATAGATCCCCGGCACTGACCACAGATGCCCAGTGCTGACCATGCCGCCCTAGATCCCAGTGCTGATCCTGCTGCCCATAAATCCCCAGTGCTGATCCTGATGCCCATAGATCCCCAGTGCTGACCTTGCCGTCCATAGGCCTCCAGTGCTGACCCTGCTGCCCATAGATCCCCAGTGCTGACCCTGCTGCCCATAGGTCCCCAGTGCTGAGCCTGCTGCCATAGATTCTCCAGTGCTGATCCTGATGCCCATAGGTCCCCAGTGCTGAGCCTGCTGCCATAGATTCTCCAGTGCTGATCCTGATGCCCATAGGTCCCCAGTGCTGAGCCTGCTGCCATAGATTCTCCAGTGCTGATCCTGATGCCCATAGGTCTCCAGTGCTGACCCTGTTGCCCATAGGTTCCCAGCACTGACCCTGCCGCTCATAGATCCCCACCACTGACGCTGCCGCCCATAGATCCCCGGCACTGACCACAGATGCCCAGTGCTGACCATGCCGCCCTAGATCCCAGTGCTGATCCTGCTGCCCATAAATCCCCAGTGCTGATCCTGATGCCCATAGATCCCCAGTGCTGACCTTGCCGTCCATAGGCCTCCAGTGCTGATCCTGCTGCCCATAAATCCCCAGTGCTGATCCTGATGCCCATAGATCCCCAGTGCTGACCTTGCCGTCCATAGGCCTCCAGTGCTGACCCTGCTGCCCATAGGTCCCCAGTGCTGACCATGCCTCCCATAGGTCCCCAGTGTTGACCCTGCTGCCATAGATCCCCCAGTGCTGACCCTGCCATCCATAGGTCCCCAGTACTGACCCTGCTGCCCATAGGTCCCCAGTACTGACCCTGCTGCCCATAGATCCTCAGTGCTGGCCCTGCCTTCTATAAATCCCCAGTGTTAATCCTGCCGTCTATAGATCGCCAGCACTGACCCTCTTGTCCATAGTTTCCCCAGCACTGACCCTTCTACCTGTAGATTCCCCCAGCTCTGACCCTGTCTCCCATTGGTTCCCAGTGATTTATCTCCACAGTCTGAAAAGCGACTACTTTAGCAGAAAGAATTAAGTCAAAGGTCATTCTTGGTTTGAAATTGATTTCCCAACACAAGAAAAGGGAAATTGGAGAAGAAAGAATTGGTTTGGATGACGAGATGACTAATTTGTTTTTAGGCAGGATGACTAAAAAGAGGCTTGGGCTATTCAAGTGGGAAACTAACCGCTGACAAAGATCAATTTGCTTACTCCAACCAGCCAAACTGCCAGAATCAGCACTTCCTTGTTAAGATCTTCCTGGGGACCTGTGAAAGAGATGGCTCAGCAGGTAAGGGCTCTTGCTGCCAAGACAAAGGCCTGAGTTTGACCCCACATGGTGTAAGGAGAGAACTGGCTGCTGAATGCTGTTCTCTGACTCCCACAATTGCACAGGGGCACCCATGTATGTTCACATACACAACAAATGAATTAAAAGACAGTAGTAGATAAATAAAAACATTAACCAAGATATTTGATTAACTGTCTGTTTGATCTCTTTATCCTCCAGCATCACCCTGCAGACAATGTCTGATCACCTAGTCTGTCCTCAGCAAAAATCCCCATAATTTCTCCTTGCTGTTTCCTCTGTGTAATTTCCTATCCACTGCCCCACTCCCTGCTCCTTGACCTACATTCTCTGCTGTGCTGCAGCATCTGGAGTAGAACCTGGTCCTGTCCGAAGCTCTCCTTCTCCACTCTGCATTAGTACTGAATAAACTCTGATTTCATTATTTTAACCACTGCCAAACACTGTCTCTCCTTTGCTGCTGTCTGGTAAATGGTAGTCCCACGACTGCTAAGCCCCCACATGGCTGAGCCCCATCTACAACAGTTGCGAAGCCTGCTCAGCAGGACGCAAGGGGAACCCCGATCTTGTACTAGCAAAGCTCTGGGAGGTACGCTGTGGCTTGTTTCTGCCAAGACCCTCACTCTCTACATGTAGATTCTTTAATTGAATGCATGGGATCCAGTCTCTTCACCAGAGCCGGCTTTTCAGGCCATGTGTTGGCTCTGCGGGCCATGTGTTCATGGATCCAACGTCTTCATCAGAGATGGCTCTGCGGGCCATGTGTTCATGGATCCAGTGTCTTCATCAGAGATGGCTCTGCGGGCCATGTGTTCATGGATCCATGTCTTCATCAGAGACGGCTCTGCGGGCCATGTGTTCATGGATCCATGTCTTCATCAGAGATGGCTCTGCGGGCCATGTGTTCATGGATCCAATGTCTTCATCAGAGACGGCCCTTCAGGCTATGTGTTTATGGATCCATGTCTTCATCAGAGATGGCTCTGCGGGACATGTGTTCACGGATCCAGTGTCTTCATCAGAGATGGCTCTGCGGGCCATGTGTTCATGGATCCATGTCTTCATCAGAGATGGCTCTGCGGGCCATGTGTCCACGGATCCAGTGTCTTCATCAGAGACGGCCCTTCAGGCTATGTGTTTATGGATCCAGTCTCCTCATCAGAAGGCTCTGCGGGCCATGTGTTCATGGATCCAGTGTCTTCACTAGAGACGGCTCTGCAGACCATGTGTTCATGGATCCAACGTCTTCATCAGAGCCGGCTCTGCAGGCCATGTGTTCATGGATCCAGTGTCATCATCAGAGATCTCTGCAGGCCATGTGTTCATGGAGCCACGTCTTCATCAGAGATGGCTCTGCAGGCCATGTGTTTATGGATCCATGTCTTCATCAGAGATGGCTCTGCAGGTCATGTGTTCATGGATCCAGTGTCTTCACTAGAGACGGCTCTGCAGGCCATGTGTTCATGGATCCAGTGTCCTCATCAAAGATTTCTGCAGGCCATGTGTTCATGGATCCATGTCTTCATCAGAGATGGCTCTGCAGGCCATGTGTTCACGGATCCAGTGTCTTCACTGGAGACGGCTCTGCAGGCCATGTGTTCATGGATCCAGTGTCATCATCAGAGATCTCTGCAGACCATGTGTTCATGGATCCATGTCTTCACCAGAGATCTCTGCAGGCCATGTGTTCACAGGATCCAGTCCCTTTATTGGAGACGGCTCTGCGGGCCTTGTGTTGAGGGTTAACAGGGCTCAGTTCTGGAGGACATCTGACCTGCTGGCTGCATGCTTCCTAGCAGGTGATGTCTTTAAATAGCCTTGTTCAGACATCCTAGGAAAATTGTGTGCCATGTGGCCTTAGAACAGAATTAGCAGGGTGTGGACCAAAATGCTGGTTGGACTTTAGAAAGTCTTGAATAAAAGCTTTGAACAAATACAAGAGACTGTATCACATGCAAAAACTTCTCTCTTTCACGGCTCAAAAGAAATACGAAGTCATTTGTAAAGGAGATTGCAATATGATTGAAATATCCAATTCATCTTTTACTGGAGGAAGATGTGTCTCAGCGGCAATTAAAGACGTGATTGGCAGGGGTGGTGTGGAAAAGGCAGCGGCCTTGCGAAGCTGACCTTGATCAGACAAAGCTAGCTTAGTAAGAAGCTCAAGAGGAAGAAAATGATTGTTGCTCCAGATTTAGACATGGGAGGAGTGGGCACTCTACCGCTTCCTTCTGGGGTTTCTTCTGCACAGACCCAGCCTCACCTGTCGTCCTCACGACCCAACCAGAGTTCAGCACAACACAGTCTATTTTCAGGATGCAGGGCCTGGGAGACATCCACTCAGTCAAGAGTTTCCATCAAATGCTACTTTTTTCAAAATCTAGCAGGTGGCTGTCTTTGTTCTAAGCTCTGGAGACAGAGAAACAGAACCCTTTCCTAGTGTAAAGCACAGGAAGTAGTTAAGTCATACAGCAGTGTAGACAAGGGTGAGCTCACAGGATTGGGAACTGTAGACTGGGGGGGGCAGGGTTACAGTATAGAGGGGGGGATGAGCTCACAGGATTGGGAACTGTAGACGGGGGGGGGCAGGGTTACAGTGTAGACTGGGGGGGGGGGGGGGACCATAGGCTTGGGAGCCAGAGATGGGGGCATGGTTACAGTGTAGACGGGGGTGGACCCACAGGCTTGGGAACCACAGACAGGGGCAGGGTTACAGTGTAGACGGGGGGTGGACCCACAGGATTGGGAACTGCAGACGGGGTGGGGGAGGGCAGAATTACAGTGTAGACGGTGGGGGGGGGGACCATAGGCTTGGGAGCCAGAGATGGGGGCATGGTTACAGTGTAGACGGGGGTGGGCTCACGGGATTGGGAACTGCAGATGGGGGCAGGGGTTGCAGTTTTAAAGATGCCTTTCACATTTGTTTTATTTATTTATTTTGTGTGGGGTTCAGGGATTGGGCATATGGGAACCATAGCACACAAGCAGAGACCAGAGAACCTCTGATGGGAGTTGGCTCTCTCCTTCTACCGTGCGGTTCCAGGTATCGAACTTGCGTCTTCCAACTCGACGACAAGCACTTTTCCCGGCTGGGTCATCTCTGCTGGCATCTAGGGGTTGCAGTTTGAATAGCATAAGAGAGGGAGGACCTTGGTGGAAAAGCGGTGTTTGATTGAGAATTGACCGTGGGGAGCTGGGTGTGGAGCTGTTGCCTTGAAGCGTGAAGCCCTGGGCTGGATCTGCAGGACTGCGGAAGCTGCGCGTGGTGGTGGTTGCTTGTCACCCCAGCACTGGGAAGTTGGAAGTGGGCAGGTCAGAAGTTCTAGGCTTCATAGAGAGTTCTAGAACAGCCTGAGACATGAGATCCTGCCTTTGAAAATATGGCTTGGGAGCCAGCCAGATACAGGAAGGTTTTAGACAAAGAGACCCCAGAGCAAAGGGTCTGGGTGAAACCCACCTTGGCATTCTTGAAATGGCAGCCTTGAATGTGAAGGGGGAGATGTCAACTAAGAACAAGCTGGCTGGCAATGAGTCCAGGAAGCTACACTCCGGGGAGGAGGATAACAGAGTAGGCTTGGTAGCGAGTGGGTAAGAAGAGGGAGTTTGGGCAGAGCACACGGTACAGGAATAGAGTACAAAGTCTTTGCTCAAATTGCCTTCACCCTCACCAAGTGTCTTATGGTTAGACAGTTGTTCACATGGTCTCTTTATGCCCATGAATGTACTCACAGCACACGAAAGAGCAAGAAGGAGCTAGCTGGCTGAGACGCCTGCTTCAGACCAAGTAGTAAGAACATTAAAGTCAGAACTTGAACACAGGCTACTTCCCTACCCTTTGTGCCTCTGATTCCGTGCCCAACCCCAGCCTGCCCCGCTCTACCTCCTGTAGCCACTCAGTGGCATGTTAGAGACATGCATGCCATTTCTCTTGGCCTATGCCTAAAATATATGCTCAGCCTGCACCAAATGTATATAATCTTAGTCAAAATGATGCCCGGTGTGGTGACACGAGCTTGGCAGGGACGAATGGCTGCATAACAATCAGAGCCTCACTGTGTAGCCCAGGCTAGCCTCCAGCTCCCATCCCTCTTCAGTCTCCCAGGAGCTGGGGTCACAGATCTGTGCCACCAGGCCCCATAAGAATTTCTTTAACATTTCGCTGTATACATGACATACAAATACATATAAAACAATGCTAAGAAAAATTGCGTGCTTAAAATTCAGTTCATAGAAATTCCTTCTCCCAACTCAGGAGTACGGTTTTCTGCAGGGTATATACTTCTTTGAATTATTGGAAAACTCTTAACTGATATATTTTCCTTCCGCTTTCTTCTCATCTCCCTTTACGTCAGTGTGTTAATGAAATACGTCCTACCAAAGCCCCGTTCCAGATGGGACAGGCGATCCAAACGCTCCATCCTGCATACTGAAGATTGCAAGAGAAGACGGGGAAGAAGGCAAGCACTCCAGAGAGGATGCTGAGGCTCCCTAAAATAAGCAGGGTCCTGCCAGCAGCCTGGTAGGGGCCCTTCATCTTCCTCTGTGACTTGAGTCTTTGCTCTGAGATAATCTGTTACCAAAACACAAGGGCAAGCCAACCCTCCATAAACATAAGTTTCTTAGAGACTGTAACTGCGATGACTGCAAACACAGGCAACAAGTTCCTGCAGACAGCAAACCCCTGCTTCTCCAAAGGTGAACAGAGGGCATGCTAGAGCCCTAGATGTGAGTTAGACAGGATAAACTCTAACACTGTCCTTTTTCAGAGAGAGTGGGGGTTGATTTCTCCTTTTGGAGTGGCTGCCTTGACTCCCTTCATCTGCTATGTCCTGGGGAGTGACCACTTCCTGGCTTAATCAGATTCAACGGCTCGGGGACTGAGCTAATTGTTTCTGAGCTCAACCTGCCTAGTGGTTACAGTATAAAGCCAACATCCTCTTGCACAATAGAACCACATTCCCAGCAAGAGTTCCCACAAAGCAAGGCAAGAACCACACAGCCAATCACCTTTCCCTTTTCGTTATATTTAATTTAAATGGTTTAAGCAAACAAACCTTTCCTTCCCAAGTTTAATTTGATACAATTATTTATTATTATTACTTTAGGCAAGGTCTGGAAACTTGATGTGGAGACCAGGCTGGTCCTGAATTATCAGGGATTTTCCTGCCTCTGTCTTCCAATGGCTGATATTATAGGTATAACACTCAGCTATTTTCAATTTTTTAAATTACATTTATTGGTGCTGGAGAGGTAGCTTACTGGTTAAGAGCACTGACTGCTCTTCCAGAGGACCTGGGTTCAATTCCCTGTATCCATTTGGTGGCTCACAAGTGTCTATAACTCCAGTCTCGGGAGACCCGATACCCTTTTCTGGCATCCTTGGGCACCAGGCATACATGTGGTATACATACATAAAATAGTCACACATATTACTCGTGTGTGTGTGTGCGCGCGCACGTGTACGTGAATGCACACGCGTGTGTTTTAAAGGGTATGCTCATGCCATAGTATGACAACTTACAGAAGTCAGTTCTCTTCCTCCCTGATGTTGGGCCTGGCTTTGAACTTAGGTCTTCAGGTTTGGAGTCAGTGCTGCCTTATCAGCCCAAAATTTGGGTTTGAAGTCAGGCAGAGCAGGGTCTGATTCTAGTTTCACCGTCTGCTGGGCTTGTATCCTGAGGAAGAACAAAGCTCTTCTGGGTCTGTTTCTTCATGAGAGAAGCAGGAGACACTAATGTTTATCTCACCAGGTGGCTGGGTGAGAACAGCAGTTCAGCTCACTTGTGTAGATGCTTAGGGTGGAGCAAGCTCTGCACAGAGAACACACTGAACTCACCTTTCTTCCAGGTTCTTGTGACAGTGGCTCAGATATCATTGATCTTCTTGTCCAACACCTTGGAAACACTAGGCTTGACTCTTGCTGATCAGATTGATGAGGATTTCCAAAAGGCCCTGCCATGTACTGGAGAGTGGAGCCTCTCGCCTGTTCTCCGCTTCTCCCCGCTTCTGTCTTCTGATCTACAACAGTCATTCCGCAAGCTGACCCAGATTTCAAAACAGCTGTATGCAGATATGCAGAATCCGGGAAAGCTGCTCAGACTGTCTGGCACGGCCACTGTGCCCTGGTTCCTCTCAGTGCTGTGGGCTAGATTCTCAGACTGTTTTCTTTCTCCATATAAATTAGCGAAGTTCCTGAAGGGCAAAGAACTTGTGAGTCTTCATACGCATGGCCTCTCTGACAGCTTACAACTGTGTCTACGGAGCAGATCCACATTAGTAAATACTTGTTAAATAAATTTATGGAGGTGTTAGCCTGTCCAGTCTGCATTTGGGTCCCACGGAGCAGCACAAGGGTGAATGTAGGTGACTTCAAGTTCACCAGAGCTGATGCCAAGGCCAGCTTGCTCCATCATGCCCGGGGAAAAGATCTAGGGAAGAAAGGTTTGTCTGCATTCATATTTGGTTGAGCTGTTTTGACTTTTTCCTCTACTTCTTATCTCGAGATTACAGCTCTGTGGTGTGCTTGCACGCCCCGGGTCAGCTCACTCTCTGCTGCTTGCACGTTTGGAAAACAGACTGTTGAAATCCCCTTGTTAAACAGTACACAGTGCAAAGGCTGACAAACAAAGACAGAATGTTTCCTTTTAATGTGGGGAGATTTTAAGAGCCCATAACATTCCAGATTAACCCAAATGTTGTCCATATAACTTTATTAGTGGTTCAAAGGTGTTAGCACTAAATATGACCACGTAGAAAATGAAGTGGAGCTAGTGACATCTCCCTCCATGATTCCCAGAGAGGTTGGACTCTTGTTTACTTTGTTAAAGCAAGAGCATCTTTCAGCGGGCACAGAAGTGGGTGTGCAGTTGTTTCCGGCTTCCACTATCAACCATTCTGAACCTAGGCACCAGCAGCTGCCACCACTGGGGAAGCCCCTTCTCCTTCTCGGCACCAATTTCCTAGAGCAGGAATTCTGTAAATTCTTCTAGAAGGAGGCAGAGTCAAAGTCTTTGCACACCTTCCCTTCTCTTCAACCCAAAGAAACCCCAAGATCTTGGCTCAAGGGAGGATGGTGCAGGCTCCACCAACATTTCAATCCCACTTTTCCACTAAAGACAAAATGAAAAACAAACCAAAACAGTGTTGGACATGGCATGCCTAGCCTAGCACTGGGAGCCTGAGGCCGGAGGATCAGTACTTCAAGATCAGCTTGGATTACACAGCAAATCTCTATCTCAACCAAAACAAAATAAAACACACACACACACAAAAAAAAAATGGACATTTGAATCCAACTCACCTCCGCACACTGCAACACAGTCAAGCAAGGAATCCCAGACTCACAAAGGCTGGATGATAGCAGAGATGCTGAGGGCAACCCTGATTCCATCATCCTGGGTCTTTTTAAGTACATCCCTTCACATATAATCCTTATGAATAACAGCCCTGTGGGTGCTAGAGGTTTAAGGCTTAAAAGGGCTTAAAACTACAGGAAAGATTCATTTATATTAAAAAGAGAAAAGAAATCCTCATTGTCCTCTATGTTCAGCGAGTCCGGTTTTATCCCATGCTTTTTCAGACCCAGTCCAGCTGGCCTTGGTGAGTTCCTGATAGAACATCCCCATTGTCTCAGTGTGTGGGTGCACCCCTCGCAGTCCTGAGTTCCTTGCTCGTGCTCTCTCTCCTTCTGCTCCTGATTTGGACCTTGAGATTTCAGTCCAGTGCTCCAATGTGGGTCTCTGTCTCTGTTTCCTTTCATCACCTGATGAAGGTTAATATTCAGGAGGATGCCTATATGTTTTTCTTTGGGTTCACCTTCTTATTTAGCTTCTCTAGGATCATGAATTATAGGCTCAATGTCCTTTATTTATGGCTAGAAACCAAATATGAGTGAGTACATCTCAAGAACAATGGCAATGGATTTTTGATCCTACTGCACGTACTGGCTTTGGGGGAGCCTAGGCAGTTTGGATGCTCACCTTACTAGACCTGGATGGAGGTGGGTGGTCCTTGGACTTCCCACAGGGCAGGGAACCCTGACTGCTCTTCGGGCTGAGGAGGAAGGGGGACTTGATGGGGGAGGGGGAGGGAAATGGGAGGCAGTGGCGGGGAGGAGGCAGAAATCTTTAATAAATAAATAAAAAGAAAAAAATTTAAAAAACAAAAATAAAATAAAAAGAGAAAGGAAAGAAAATGGGGCTTCCAGAGAGAGACGTACTTAAGATACATTTTCCTAGTAGCTTCAGACATCTGTCTTATTTTAGAATTGAGGGGTGGTCACCCATATAGCAGATAGAGCATACATCTAGTGTCGGAAAGATCTGAGTTTGCTGGCTTGGTGGCACACACCTATAGTCCTAAGGGAGGCAGAGTTGGAGGATCCAGACTCCAGGTCACCCTTCACCACATAACGAGTTAGAAACCCAGTTTAGAAAAGTGGGTGGCGTTGCTAGGGAGATGGCCCCACAGATGAAGTGCTGACTGCTCAAGAATTGAAGACCACAACTGGAATTCTCAGAACCTACATGCGTGAGTGTGTGCATGCATGTGTGAGTGTGTGTGTGTGTGTGTGTGTGTGTGTGTGTAATTCCGATATTCACGAGGCAAGATAAAGTGTATAGAGACAAAGGAAGAGTATAAGAGAACTTCCTGGAATCTGCCAGGCCAACCAGCTCAGCTTATCTAAGGTACGTAAAGGACCCTGTCTCAGAGAGGAAGCTCAGGATGGACGCCTGACTTGTCCTCCTACAACCACATGCACACCATAGTTGTCTAGCCGTACACTCTCTCCCTCCCTCCCACCTTAGTTTAGTATTGAACATTCTTTCTAATAAGTACAAAAAAAATCTAAAACATAAACCACTGCTAACAGCAGCGTAGTAACTGACTCCAGCAGGGTTCATCCATGGATACTGGAGGAAGAGAAAGGCAGTGTAGTGTGCCAGTTGTCATAGGAACGAGTGATCACACTATGACGATAACAGGACTAACCGACCTCACCACCTTTTAGTATGATGGGATGGCCTGCTCAGGGTCACCTGCGTAGCATTTGTGCAAGAGTATCTCAATGGAACCTGATAAAAAAAGAAACAATTAAATAAATTCAGGTACTAAATGTCTGAACTCATCAGCATTGCTTGAATAGTTAAGTCTGCACCTGGGAGAGTTGGACTGGGAACACAGGAGTCATGGAAGTTGCAAGCTGCTTGTGTGCAGGTCACAAAATGTTTAAAAAGTGAAGGAAAGTGAAAGAAATAGAAAAGAGAGATAAAAATAAGCAAATCAAAGTTGCCAGGTGCCTGGAAAGTTCTCATATTGTTTTTTTTTTTAAAGATTGCCTTAAGGGAGAAAGTTTGAAAGCTTTGATTCATATATGTATGCATGTACACACTTAAGTAAGTGTGTGTGTATGTATTAGGTATGTATGTATCTCACTATGTAGTCCTGGCTGGTCTGGAACTTGGTGCATAGACCTGGTGCATAACCTGGAGCTTGCCTCTGCCTCCCAAGTTCTAGGATTACCCCTATGTCCCA